GTTCAGTGAGATCAGCAGCAGACAAACTTAGAAGAAACAGAAATCTTGTAAACATTCTTTTTTTTTTAGAATATGAGATTTGGAAATGATTTTTTAAAGTAATATAATTTAGAAATTTTACATATGTGTGCGTGCAGATATATGTGTGTGTGTATATATATATATATATATATATGACATTCAGAATTACTCCGTGGATTTTCTGTGTCTTTAAAATGAAACATATCATGATATTAATGTTTTCTGAGGTTCTGGATGGGGGCCAAGGAGATCGTAGGCAAGCATGGCCTCTGTCAGTTCTTCCCTGGAAGGATCAACTCTTAAGAGGATGGCTCCTCTACCCTCCACCACCTTTTCTTTCCACTTCCTTTGGCATTATTCTTGGTCTGTTTTCACCTCCGTTCTATGCCTGCCTCATCTCTTCTATTGGGCTCTTCCCAGTCGTAGACCTCTAGTGAGAAACCAATGGAAAGATTTTGTTACTGTCCAGTGCCCTACGGTGACTGGGATGGGGGTGGGAATTCCGTGATGACATAGATATCTGTTGTTTCCTGAGAGACATGGTGTGTTACACAAGAAAAACGTTTTTCGGGTCACTGAAAAAAATGTTTAAATCTGCCTCGGGCGCCTCACTTGAATTCAAGAAAACTCACTAATAAACGTGTTTAATGCTAATTTAAGATGCTACCATTTAGAAGGGATTTGCAACTATCTGAATAATGTTGGAGCAATGTGTACCATTGTTTGGTTTGGTGAATCCTATAATGAATCCTGTAATATGTAAAGATGGCATTGCGCACAACCCATTCTTAATGAGATTAAATTATAATGGGAGTATTTCCATCCTTCACTCCTACTCAAAGCCTGTTCTCTTCCTTTTGCAATTCCCTGAAAGCTTTCTTTCTGCCTGCTGTTAGGTTATTGCTGCCACCTGATGTCTCAAAATAAAATTGCAGTGGGTTCGCTTTTTCCAAAAGATTCGCACTATTCTACATTTTATGGAAATAACTATTGGAGAGCAACAGTTGTTTTTTTCTGTACTCCTAAGTAAGAGCATTCTGAAGTGATTACTTGTGGTGGGGAGATTATGGGTATCATTCATTCCACAAGCACAAGGTGGAACTAATAATGCAGGAGGGAATGCAGCAGTCCTAATCTCTACAAGAGGACAAATTGCCGTTGTGACCTTGGTGTGTACTTCACCACGGAAAATTGGACTCAATGCTCTTAACAGCCTTATTCCAGCTTTAACGTTGTTTTGTTGTGTGTACTTTTATTTGTAAAAGCATAGCCCTTCTCCATGATACTGTTTATTTCTTTGGACTGCAGTTCTCAGTGTTGAACAGGTTTTCTCTCTTTTTTTTTTTTAACTGATACCTAATATTTCTACACATTTATAGGGCACATGTGATATAGAATGTGTAATGATCATGTCAGAGTGGCTGAAGTATCTGCCACTTTGAGTATTATTTCTATGTGTTGGGAATATTTCAAGACCTCTTTTCTAGCCATTTTGAAATAACAATACATTGTTGTTAATCATAGTCACCCTACTCTGCTATCGAACATTAGAACTTATTCCTTCTATCTAACTATATATACTCACTAACCATCTTCTCTTTATCACACACACACACACACACACACACACACACACACACACACACACAC